CATCAACATCATTATCATCTCCATTGATTATTGGAATTATTGCTGGTTTAGCCGGTATTATTTTAATAGGAATAATTTCTGGAATTGTTGGAATATTTGTCCATAAAAAACGAAAAGCTCGTCGTTACTCTATTGCGACTCCTGGGAGTATGAATACCTACATATAATAATCCCATAGCTTACTTATTTAATTTATGGGAATAATTATCTATTATATTCCACACTGTTGTTTGATTAAAAATATGATCTTTCCCTTTTATTATAAATCTGGATTATCCTACCTTAATGATAATATCCCATATAAATGTTTTTTTAATAAAAAATTGATTTCAATAATAGAAAATACATTAATTTCATTGATATTCTAGTCTCGCTCTAATAAATTCTCTATTACGAGAAGCTTCTGTATAGACGTGCAATAACGTTATTTCGATATTTCATTTTAATAAAGATTGCACATTGACTCAAAATAACACACACATGAATAGTTACAGTAAAGTTTTTAGAAGTTGTAGCTTTTTACTTCACAATTAGGATTCAAACTATATATTTGTATAATTCAATGCTGCGGCTAAAGCATGCATCGCTCTCTCAGCCAGTTATTATTAATTAAAAAATTCGACGTAGTTGCTACAAATAATTGGATATGTACCGAATAAGTGTGAAACAACGTCCAGGGGGCGTTATTTTGAGCAATGTCCCGAACTAAGCTTAATTTAGGCCAAAATTCGAAATTACACACAAAGCGTTATTTCGCGCTTATACGAAGAATGGGAGTCTATAATTAATAATCAAATCAAAGTTGGTTTTAAAATTAATTCTGGAGAATCAATTCCAAAAATTAGAATCGAGTACAATGGTCAAGGAAATAAGGTGGATAAATCTATGAATAATAAAAATGGTTTTTCGCGTATAAAAAATAAAAGAAATCGATAAGCAAAAAGATGAAATTGAGATAAATTTAAAATTTTTATTAATAAATCATTTGCACGATATAATTATAAAGATTGTTGTTCTTCTTTGTCTTAGTGTTACTGTGTCGTCACATACAGCATTTTAATCTCATAAACTTTGGAACTTTCACTTTTTGAACCATAGCACGAACTATTACTTATATCAATAACACAATCTTTGACTTTCGATCACAATATATATGCACAGAGCTAGCACAGAGCACAAAAATTACTGTAACCGGAAACTTCCGTTTAATTAACCAATTCCGGCTTTACTTTTCATCAGTTGGAAATTTACGTTCGATAATTTCATTGGTCATTATATCTAAACTCGGCAAAAAGCATGTTACATCACTCGGAAATTTTGTGCGCTACATATGCATGCTATAAAGAAAAATAACCTAATATTACCTACGTACGTACGTATTGTAAGTAGTACGTGCGTACGAAGTCATTAACAGATAATGGTTTATCGTGAATCGCACTTTATTTCACTCTTATTTGACGCTTGCGCAAATCGAAAGAAATATAAGAAAATGAAAGATTTAAATCCCTGTTCAAATCAAGAAATGGAGTTTTGCAGTGGAAAAAAAGACTTTCTATAACTTTTAACCCAAGGTTCTAATATTAAAATCTTTATTTTGTGTATTTATACTTGTTTTACTTTTCGAAGCTTGTATTACGTACAAATATATTTGATATGCGCTCTGTTATAAAATTTTTTTGTACCACAATATTATTTGCAGCAATACTTGTGCATATTTAATACACACAAAAGAATAATTTGTTTATGCCAGGTTTTTATCCGCCTCAATAGGAAAAGTCTTGCTTTCTAAAATATAATAACAAATATGAATTTTATCAAAAATATTTTTTATTTTTTTCTTATATTAGGTTATGTAAATTTATTTGTAATTTGCGATAATTTACCTAATTCTAAAGCTCATCAGGCCGCTTCGTTAGTTAATAACAAATTGTATTTTTTTGGTGGATATAGTGGGCTAAATCTCACAAATGATGAAGTATGGTATCTTGATCTATCAAGTTCATTTAATGTATCTACGCCCCCATGGCATAAAGATCGAGGGATGCCTATACCAAATAGTTTTGCTTCTACATGTGTTAGTCCTATCGATAATTCTACGGTTTTTTTAATCGGTGGAATCATGGCCCTTACTACAAATACGTCAGATATTTCCTATCCTTCAGATGTATATGTTTTCGATCCCGTAACTTCATCCTGGAGAGTTCCTAACATCATTGGTTATAATAATTCTTTTACGACGCGTTACTATATGCAGGCAGTTATTGATAATGATGGAAAAATTTTCATTTTTGGAGGAAGGAATCATAATATTAGTAGTAACAGTAATTCAGCAATAGTCACTTGGTATAATGATATGCATATGCTTGATACTTCTACTCTGAAATGGTCAACATTAAATATTCCAGAACGTTCCTCTTCCACGTATCGCTTATGCCGCCATATTATCATCTACTGCCGAAATAATTTATATTGGTGGGGCTGAACAGCCACCAATAGGTAGTTCACGTCTGGTTGATATAAAGACGGTATGGCTCAAATAATGTAATTCTATACATTTGTTTTAATACCTTTTATTGTTTAACTTTTCTTTTGATTAATCAATTATATAGATTCAATTATTCAATACGAAGTCATTCACCTGGTCTACTAAAGTATGTATAAAGTACATTACTACAATATTTAGATAATATAAAACTAATTTTTATCATTTTAGCAAACTACTGGCGCAAGCATCGGCAATCGCGCATGTCATACTGCTGTTCTAAGTATATATCAATAATATCAAATATATAGCTTATTAAAAAAAGAACAATCATATATCTATTTTAATTAAATTTATTATATTAAAATTAGCCCAAAATGGAAGTATTATAATTTCCGGAGGTGTGACAATAAATTTAACATCAGTGTCTCCTGATTTGGCGGTGCTGGATATAAATACTTGGGAATGGTCTATTCCGAATATTCCTCAGAATAATGCTCCTCCATTACTTGCATACCATTCTGCAGTAATATATGAAAATTATATGATCGTTTCATTTGGTAATTACTATATTATCCTTTTTATTATCATTAGTCCAAAAAATAATTACAAACCAAATGCTATATTATTCAATATTTGTACGTTTTAGGTTATATTGTATCCACATTAAACGCATTAAGCCCGCAAATGACAAACTTTATTTATATCCTTGATATAAGAAATTACACCTGGGCTACCACAGCAACCATAAACAAACGTGGACCAACTCCAGTTTCAACTCCAGTTCCAACTAATGATGAAAGTCCGAGTACACCTACATTAATTATTGGAATTGTTTCTAGTGTATCTGGTATTATTCTAATTGGATCTGTAATTGCTGGAATATTTATATATAAAAAACGTCAAGAACGTC